TCCTGGAAGTCCATGCATATGCAGGATGCAGCCGTATCTGGCGGTTGCTACAGAGGTTGACTCAGAGCTCCAGCATATACTCGGGAATGTGAGCAGTCAGTCTGTTGTTAGTTGACCCACAGCTGTGAACTGGTTAAATATTCGCGGCTCTTTCTCTCACTCCCCAGCCCACTGTAATTTAATGTAGGACATCTCAGAATTTTTCTCTGTCAATTGTCACAGGGATATCACTATAAACCTATAAGATCTAAACAGAAGAGTGAGGCACAGCTGTGTAATCTTGACAAGGCAGACAGCAGCTTAAAGTTCCCATTGGTATGTTGAAGAAAGCAGTGAGTATATAACCCCCCAAATGCAAAACGGTATCACTCACAAAGGGATCATTTCCATTAATAACTAAATGCCCTTAAATGGGCTCCGTATAGATCTGCTTTATACCGACTTCCGTTTTGTATTCATAAATAATGTTGTGGCGAGGTTGTCTATCTGTCTAGAATTTATAGTTTCCCATCTGTGTAGTTGGAGAGACTTTTACCGAGATCCAGCCACAAGGGTGGGGGACAGTGAGGATAATTGAGGTGCTCTGATACTGTGACATTGCCTGATCTGATTTGTGCATGGTAGGTGCTCAATTTTTAATTTTCCCAACAGATACCGAGCTTCCTTGAGCGATGGGTTTGAGAGAAGCCTCGCGTTCGGGTGTTCGTTCTACAGCACAGCTCTCTGCCGAGCCATCTCCTGCTTAATTTCCTAGTCCTTTTCTCTGGATTCTCTTCTAATTTGCTTCCTTCTTGACCGCATCGTTGCTTTCCCTGACATTTCTGCGTGTGTTCTCTCCAAACTGGTTTTCCTGCTTTTAGCTCTATTCTTCTTGTGTCCTCTATGGACACAGACTTCTTAGAAACCTATAATAACGGATGCTCTAGGATAATCTGTCCATCTGTGCTTCTTTGACCTGAAGCGCTTATTTGTCTTTCCACTCTTTCTGTTCTGCCCCTTTCTTTCAGTCTTTTTCATTCATCTTTGACCATAAATCTGTCTCTCTAAAGGCCTTTGACCTCTCTTGTCAAGCCTGCCACTTCCATCTAGATATTTCCATCTGGGATGTCCCATCATCATCCCAGGCTCACAGAGCCCAACATCATCACCTTCCTTCCCACGACAGCTCCTGCAGTCGGTGATAACCACCATCCTCCCTGTCACGGAGTGTCCACCGTACCTTAGGTCTCACCATCTCTTTTGTCTTCCTGTGATTTTATGGCTCCAGCTCTTTCTTGTTCCCGTGCTTGCCTGGTTTAATCTGCCACCTCCCTGGTCTTTCTGCCTCCAGACTCTCCACTGTTGGAGCCATCGTGCTAAGGATGTCAGGGTAACCTTCCTATGTGACGTCCTCCTCTTAAAGACACGTGTTGGATTCCCAGGTATTTTCAGTGGCCAACAAGAAGTATCCCAGCCTGGCATTCACTCTGGGCCCTTTTTACACTTGTCCCTGGTACATCCTGAGTGCTCACCCTTTCCTCCAGCTAGGTCTGTCTTTCCGCTGCCCTCTGTACCTGCTGAGATTGTTCCCGGCGGCGCCGAGTCATCACCACCACTTCCCAGCCCCGCCCCTCCCCAGCCCAACCCCCAAGCCTTTTGTCTATATTCTGTCCACAGTGAAAGATCACCACGGAGCCTTGCCCCATCATTCCAGCTGCAGAGCTGCCCTCCTCATCTGAATGAGGCAGAACCACTTACTTCTCTGGAGGTTTATACAAGAAACTGAGAAACAGGAGGAAGAAAAAACTTACATTCAACTGTGTATTCTTCTGTTCTTCTTGAATTTTATACATTCTGTATTACTTATTCATTAAAATAATTTTTAGCATTTATGTAGCCAAATGTATTTAAAAATCGCAAATTATTACTGCGTTATATTACTGCCTTAATTTTCCATGAACATGTGTGTTGGTTTCCCCCATACCACCTGACTCAGTGCAGCGAGTACCTAGTAGGAGATTAGTTAAGAGCTGAGTAAAATCAACAGCTGGAAGGGTGAGGAGTAGAGAGAAGAAGGTATAAACGGATTAGAGGCAGCCTTGGACCCGACCTAGCCTCTTCTTCCTGAGTAATTTCAAAACTAAAAGAGAAAGGATTGCTTTTGTCTTCTTAAAGATTCCTAATAATGGAGACAATATACCCCTGCCCTAGCTAGTTATAGAGTTTTAATCTGATAATTAAGAATTCTTCTTGTCTAGGATTTTATGTACAGAAAATCCTAAAAGACTCAAAAAAAAAAAAAAACATTAAAACTAATCACCCAGTTCAGTAAAGTTAGAGGATACAAAATTAACATTCAAAAATCAGTAACATTTCTATACACTAACAATGAATTTTCTGAAAAGGAAATTGATCCCATTTATAATAGCATCAAAAACAATAAAATACTTAGGAATCAATTTAACTAAGGAGATAAAAGATATCTATGATGAAAACTACAAAACACTGATGAAAGAAATCAAAGAAGATACAAATAAATGAACAGATACCCCACCTACATGTATTGGAAGTAATATTGTTAAAATTTCCATACTACCTATAAGCTAGAGATTCGATGCAATTTCTATCAAGATTCCAATGGCAGTTTTTGCAGAAATAGGAAAACCACTTTTAAAATTTATATGGAACCACAAAATACCCCGAATATCTAAAGAAATCCTAAGAAAGATGAACAAAGCAGGAGGCATCATATTTCCTGATTTTAAGTTATACTATAAAGCTATGGTAATTAAAACAGTATGGTGCTGGCATAAAAACAGACCAATGGAACTGAGTTGAGAGCCCAGAAATAAACCCAGTACAGTCAGCTAATATTTCACAAGTGATCTAAGAATATTCAGTGGAGAAAGAAGTCTCTTCAATAAATGGTAGTGGGAAAATTGGATATTTCCTTTTAAAATAATGAAGCTTGATGCCTGTCTTACACCACTCACAAAAGTTAACTTGAAATGAACTGAAGACTTAAATGTAAGACCTGAAAGCATGAAACTCCTAGAAGAAAACTTAGAAAAAAAGCTCCTTGACATGGGTCTTGGTAATGGCTTTTTTGGGGGGGTGGAGGGGGGAATCATAGCTAAAACATAACAAAATCAAAAATAAACAAATGGAACTATATCAATCTAAAAAGCTTCTGCATAGCAAAAGGAACCATCAACAAAGTGAAAAGACAGCCTACAGAATGGGAAAAACTATTTGCAAACCATATATCTGATAAGAGGTTAATATCCAAAAATATATAAGGAACTCTACAACATGTTTAAAAAAATCCAGTAAAAAATTAGCAAAGGACCTGCCATGGACATTTTTCCAAAGAAGATACGTGCATGGCCAAGAAGTACACGAAAAGATGCTCAGCACCACTAGTCATTAGGGAAATGCACATTAAAAGCACGATGAGATATTACCTCGTGCCTATTAGAATGGCCATCATCAAAAAGACAAGAGATAATAACTGCTGGCATATATGTGGAGAAAAGGGAACCCTTGTGCACTGTTGGTGGGAATGTAAATTGGTACAGCCACTATGAAAAACAGTATGAAGTTTCCTCAAAAAAGTAAAAATAGAACTACCATCTGATCCAGCAATTTCACTTCTGGGAATATATCCAAAGGAAACAAAAGCACTAACTCAAAGATATCTGCATCCTCAATGTTCACAGCAGCATTATTTACAATAGCCAACAACCTAAGTGTCCATTGGTGGATGGATGAATAAAGAAGTTGTGGTCTACACACACACACACACACTCACACACACTCTCTCACACACACACACACACACACACACTAGCTTATTATTATTCCATAGAAAACTAGATCCTACGATGTGTGAGGTGAATGGACCTCGAACGCATTATGCTAAGTGAAATAAATCAGACAGAGAAAGATAAGTAGTGTATAATCTCAGTTATACGTGGAATCTTAAACAAAGCAGACTAAACTCATAGAAAAAGAGATCAGATTTGTGTTTACCAGAAGTGGGAGGTAGGGAGAGAGGGAAATGGAGGAAGGTACAAACTTCTAGTTACAGAGTAATAAGTACTAAAGATGTAATGTATGACGTGATGACTGTTTAACACCGCTGTATGTGGGAAAGTTGTTAATAGAGTAGATCCTAAGAGTTCTCATCACAAGGAGAAATTTTATTGTATCTGTACGAGAGGATGGATGTCAACCAAACCTACTGTAATCATATATATATAAATATATATATCAGTGTAATCAATATATATAAATGTAATCAATATATATATATAAATCAAACCATTATGCTATACTTGTTAAACCTTACACAGTGATGTAGGTCAATTCCTTCTCAGTAAAACTGGAAAAAAAGAATCCTTCCTGTCTACTGCTCTCCACCTCCACCCACAAAAATAAATAGATAGAAGGTGGGGGCCGTTTCTGCAATTTGGGAATAGATACTTACCTGTGTATCTCTGCCCAGCGTCAGGAGCTCATGAACACCTGTGTTCTGCCTAGGGCGAGCAGAGGTTTTCTCTCTGGGAGAGAATCGTGTCTTCAGTTGACAGATCCCCTCTCAGAGCCTTTGGGTTTTACCTCCATCTCACCCCACCCCCACCCTGCCACCTTGGCAGAGGCTTTGCCCTGGTCCCTGTGGCCACCAGATGCTTCCATGCATTTCCAAATGTCCAGGGTGGCGAGACGGCACACACACTCCCCGCTTGCCACCCCCACCCCGTGATCCAGGCCATACTTCCTCTTCAGGTTCAGCTTGGTATGGTGGGTGAGGGTGAGGGGTCATTCGGAGATTATACGTGATTAGCAGTGGTGCCCACTAAAGACAATAATAGTTTGAGACCATGAAGCATATGCCTTGCTTTGTGCGTTTTTGAAGAAGATCTTTGAAAAAACAAAACACACAGTACTAGATTGCTACTGCCATTTCTTGGTCCCCTCCTTCTGGTGGTAAAACTTAACGATTTCTATTTCTCTTGCAGAGCATGCTTGAGAAGGGAGGATAAAATCAGCTTTTAGAACACGCAGAACTCCTTCAACGTTGATTCCAGAGGTGGAACATTTTTTTTCCTAGTTAGAAAGTAACCAGTTTAAAGAGAAGAAGAGCACTGACGAGAAGCGCCAGGGAGCAGATCCAACAGAAGCTTATCCCGCGTCCGACAACAGCGATGTGCGAAGCCAAGGCTGAGATCAGGGATCAGCCACGAAGGGCGTGCTGCAGTGTTAATAAACCCCACGTACGATGACAGAAACAAAGGCAGCCCTCTCCACCTCGCGTTCTTTCTATTCAGCGTCCTCTTCTCACCAAGCTCCATCGTTTGGTGAACCTCCCTTCCTGCAAAGCCTGGGGGTCGGGGCCGGGGGATAAGGTTACCAAGTGGGGAGAGGAGAGGGCGAAACACCTTAGTCTCGGGCCAGCAGTGCTGAGTGGGACTGTCCAGGCTGTGGCATGTTGGGTTTCTCTCTCGTTTTCTTTTCTCCCTTGACTAGATAAGAGCTATTTCATTTTAACTTATTATGGTGATCATGTAAGTAAGAAGACAAAAAAAGGAAAGAAAATGTACCTCTTTTACTGGAATAATGTTTATGATTGCAAGTGAAATAAGGCATTTTTTTTATCAACAGAAAGGCAACCTTGGCTTATATAACCGCTTCTCTATCACGAATACTGACATCTTTACTTCAGTGACTATCAATAATAAATATATTTTCTGACAAAGACTGGCATTGTAGCCTGGGGCCTTGTGTATTTCTTTCTCTAGGTTACATGGTTGTGCTTACGGGAATTGAGTTGATTTATATTGTCATTGCTTTGCATTCGTGCTGTACCTCTCCTCTGAAAAGCTCCAAAGCACTTTGCAGAGCCTCAGCTAAGCAAGTGATGCTTCGAACTCACCCCTTAGGTAGGTAGGATTCAGGGAGATCTTTACACTGCACGAACCTACCTTCCTTTGGGATTCTGGGGCGAGAACTTGTTTAGAAAACCTTGGTTAGAAACTTCTGACCCTGCCATCTATCAAAATGTTACAAAAGGGGAAAACAACAACAACCAACCAACCCTGAGTGTTTTTCCAATTTCATTAAAACTGCCTAAGTGTAACTCATTTTTATCAGAGGCTGGGTAGTCCAACCCTGGATTTTGGTACGTTGGAAATTAGTATTCACTCTGGAGCAAAACGAAAAGGCCTTTCCAGGAATAGATAAAGGAGAAAATGCTAAGGCTTCCGTGATGTCATTTGAATATATCTTTTGTCATGTAGAATTTTTATTTTCTTAGAGAGACTTTAGCAAAATGATTAAGAATACAGGCTCTGGAATAAGGTGCATCTGTGTTCAGATTGTTCAGTGGCTCTGCCACTTTCTGCCACTTACCATCTGTGGGTCCTAAACCAAATCACCTCAGCGTACTAAGCCCCTGTTTCCTCAGCTGTTCACTGGGAGGAAATGGGAGAACCTTTTACGTAGACTTTTGGTGAAGAGTCAGAATGCTTCCCATGCACATTCGGTTGGATCCAGTTGTGGTTTGTGTGATTATTTAGTAAACTGATCTTGGGAGTTGGGGGCATGGGAATAATATGCACATGCCCAAATACCTTAGAGAAAGTTAGGATGAACATAGCTTGTGTGGGGAGAATTTCAACCAACCCCTGTAAATGTGAGTGTGGCCTCTCATCTAAATCCCTGAGTTGGCTCCATTCGAATGGCATTTCCACGTACACTCGTGAACACCCTGTAGATGTGATGTTGATTCTGAATGATTTTGTGGACCCTCCTACCATAAACTGATTATTGTTTAATGAAAGTTTTTGTTTTTATTTTCGTTTCTTAGTGGTACAAAATAAGCCAAGTTTGTTTAAGTGTGAAGGAAGGAAGCATTGGTAGCTGGAGGAGCAGCACATGTTGGCACTGTTAGGGTGACACCCAGGTACCTGCCCAGGAGAAAGAATAGGTACACAAAAACAGATGTTTACCCAGTGACTTGCTGTAGTGTCTGCAAATCAGCTAACTCACAAATTACCTCTTATACTGCCTTTTTTTTTTTTTTTTTTGTAATTTAGAGCCAAGAACGTGGCACATCCTAAGTTGCCAGTCTTGTCATTGGCAGAGAAATTCACTGAAGAGTCAGGAATTTAAAGCTGGTTAAATCATGGGAGGGTGGTTTGTCAAGACATCTCTCAGCACTGGTTATTAATTTATTCTGATGATGGGTGCAAGGGGGAAAGATGGCACTTTGGAGCAAATAAATGGGTGAGATGATGCCTTTTTTTATGCCTTTGAAGATCTGTTGATTGTATCACAGCTCCGTCCAGGTCACTGTTAACTTTAGGACAACTGCTTGAGAAGAATGTTGTGATATATGAGTCTCATGGAATTACATGTTCCGATCAGCTTCTCCATTAAGTAGAACACACCTTGAATGACAGTAGTTTAGTTCATGAAGCCAAGAAGAATAAAGTATCTTAGAAACTAGTCAGAAGTTATCGCATTGAACAAATGTCTGATGAACTTGTAGAAGGCGGCAGGGTCAAACCAGCACAAAGTCCTCTCTGAAAAGTCAATAACTTATTATAGAAAACTTGCCAACATGATGGTTTAGAAAATTATTGACTAATCCTTATTAATAGTGGATGTGGACTAATAACCAAATGCTTGTGACTTGCTGGTCTACCAATGAGATGCCTTTGTACTGCAGCTCTAAGTGGTATTTTGCTTAGAACGGAACAAGCAGCCAGATGTCCTCATCTGCTCCAGCTTTGGAGTTGGCAACCTGTGATTCTTAGCTTGATATCTTTCAGCCCTCGTATAATTGCTTTGGCCAGAAACCCAGAGAATAATTCTCTTTCCTCCATTTTAGCTGTTGGAGCTGACCCTGTCGATTTAAGACTTAGAGAAGTTGAACAATTAAAAGAGTAGCAGTAACTTACTGGGATTATTCTGTTTTGAGTTAATATACTTGAAAAGGTAATACTTTGAATGAGTTAATGTTCATTCTCTGTCACTGCTCCCCTGTTTCCCAAGTTTTCATCCATTTCTTTACTTTCCCCCCCTCGGATGCTCCCATGTTTATCTCTTCCTTTAGTTTCTATGGGTTTAAACTTTTTAAAATACATATATATATTTTTAATTTTTCAATTCCAGTTGGCATACAGTATTACATTCAGATACACAACATGGTGATTAGACATTTATATAACTTCGAGGTGATCACCTTGATAAATCTAGTACCCATCTGACACCATACAGTATTACTGACTATATTCCTTATGCTATACTTGACAGCCCCATGACTAT